TTGAGGATTGGCCAAAATCACTTCTGACTCAACATAAGCGACAAACATAATTCTATCTTGAAGCAAATGCTTTACAACTTCATTGCTTAATCGGATGTGTCTATTTTTACTATTGAAATTTTTTTTTTCATTGCAATAACGGTTATTGCCGCTTGGCAATCACAATGCACAGACACCAAAGGTGTTGGGTTCATTCACAAAGGAATATATGGTAAGAAGTTTCTTAGCTACTCAGTCTTATTGCCAAATATGAGTTTATCACCCATTTTTTCACATTAGCCACTATATTGGCGACGGATTGCTATCCAAATTATATGCAAGCATCATTTACACAAAAAATCTCATATGTATAAACATTATCATTTTTGGTATATGATAACTCTATAAAAATAGAGTTATTTTATCTACTCTAGGCAATAAATAATGCAATATTTGTTAGAATATATTTGGATTTCCTTTTATTTACTTAATTTTTCCTTGTTTATGCAGAATATTGAGATATGGAGAAAATAAGGAAAATATGGCAAAAAGAAGGAAAGGAATATGCAACCCAGAGAAGAGTTAGAAGGTGGATATCACATTGGGAATTCTGCGATTTATTCCCTAATTTTTTACGAAAAAGAAGCAATTGCCTTGTGAGAGGAGTCTTGGATGTTATCATATAAATATGATAACTTGGGGGAACATGGAGTTTTTTTAGATCGTTTTTGTTTTCAGTGTTCTGAGAGTTTTTCAAGTATTTTGAAGAGAAGACAAAAGTGGTGACAGAATTCTTGTTCTTTGATTCAAGATGTTTGGTTTAATTTCTATTTTTGTTTTTTCTTCTATTATGTTCTAATTTTCTTTATTAGAGCTACGATGTAGCCTAACCATGATGATATGAATTTCATGCTTTTTATGCTTTGCAAGTAATTTCATTCATGTGAGTTATATATTATTGTGATTAATGCGTTTAGGTGATTGGCCACCACTTGAATGATCCGATGTGCATGTTTGAGACTGAGAAGTAATAATATGCAATTACTCCTTATAATATATAACCATGAATTAAATGTGGATAGAAATATACTATGTTATTTGTGTAGCTTTCGGTGATAAGGTGGTTCAAAAGATTCATTGTAAACCGGGAATATTCACAGATTTTAATGCGCTTATGTTTATTTAAATTCACATAGAAATATAGTGAATTGATAAACTGAGTAGGTTTGCTATACCTAGAGATAGGATAGTAAATAGACTAGGAAATTCCGGTATCACATGTTTGATATTGTGCTTGTATGCATAATGATCCGAAATTCATATCTAGTGGTTATGGTGAAATCGAATGCTCTAACATATTTTACCTGATTGATTATCTGCCTTTAGTTTAAAAAATTTCGTTTTTAAAAATTGTCAATTTTTATTTGTTCTCAATTATATTTTGATCAGTTAGATAAATTTTAGAATTAGTCCATTTTTAATATTTAATTGGTTTATTATCATCAATCTCTGTGGGACGATACTCTTCTCATCATTATATTACTTGTTCAACACGTTCGTTGACACGTGCAGAATTTTACGAACAGTATACAATTTATTTATATATAGTGAAATACATTACACCAAAAGTTGTGAAATACAAGGATCAAGAACAATTAAACCTAAAGGAAAGATAAATACAAGTACCGGCTATAATAATTGGAAACTGAGAAAATACAAGACTCTGCGTTGATGATCTTATCAAAGAGTTGGCGTTTATTCTGACAAAATGTTTATTGACTTAGTTTGTCACTTGTCGATAATAACCAAAAGTTTATTGTTTTTTGTGTCAACAGAGTGCATATAAGTCTAATGTACCTGAGCGCTTGATACTTGGTGAGTTCTATGTAGGGGTCGCATAATCTAAAGGCTAAGATGCGATGAGATCGCAAGCACCCGATAATGTCTCCTTTTATCTTTAACCCCTTTATGGAAGAAGATGCAACTAAAAAGTCATCACTTGTGGAACATCACTCTCTTTCTTTCTTCTCTCATAATTGAAACTGACCAGAGTCCCACATGGAAATGACACTGAAAGAAGTAGGTATGGGTTCATGGGACAGTTCCATGGTCTTGTCCCGCACCTAATGGGCACATGCATACCAAATTACCCAAAGCCCCATCTACATACGTGAGCCATTAAAAGCATCACTTTTGGCTTTTATGGAGACCTATAGAAATGGTAACGCCGGAGACATTTGAAAAATAAGAGCGTAAATCTACCTAATATGGTTGAAACTGTCGATTGAAGATGAAGATATCACAAGTCTTAGTCAGAGATAGGTATACTACTTACTACATACCTCGATTCGTTATGAACCAAATGGCCCAGATACTATAGTACACAGACCTATAATGTTAAACTGTATTATGAAGGCTCCGGAAAGTGTTAAATCTCGTGAGCACGGTTTGCATATGCACAGCTTGTTTCTAGTTGATAAGACCGTGTGATCCTCATGCGGGGCTTCTCGAATTTAACAATTATGTGAGTTCATCCGTGCTGAGTTTGTTCAAGAATCGCTTGGCGAATTAATCACTCGCCGTATGTGAATATCGCAAAAGGTTTTAGCGAGGATACCGCTTCCCTAGCTATTCATGGCGAAAGGTTTGAATCTCTCTTTGCGTACCCTTCATCTCATTTCGAACCCTCAGATCAGTTGACAAGAAAACCTTCTAAACTTATCGGTTTTCTCGGTCGCCTACATGTGAATTGAGCTTGAATATCCTCGTTTGGAGGACCGGAGTAATGGAAAGAAGAAGATATGTATACATGGATAAGCTTTAGATGGGTCCTTTTTGCAAAATAAAAGGAAGGAAGCGACCTGTCAAGAGGAATTAACATCATAAACAGCGAGGCAAGTTGAGACGAGAAATGGACACTCGGAAAAGAGGGAAAAGGTAGGTGAAAATTCAGGCTCATTTTAACTCGACGGATAAACAATCTCTCTCTCTCTCTCTCTCTCTCTCTCTCTCTCTCTCTCTCTCTCTCTCTCTCTCTCTCTCTCTCTCTCTCTCTCTCTCTCTCTCTCTCTCTCTGCTTGTCCCCTTGAAAACAACCTCTCCCCATCATCCTTAACTCTTACCATCCTCTTGACACATCTGTGAAAGCATCCTCGTTCATCAAATTCAATTTGTTGGTTTTAATCCGACTTACATAGGAGAAGAGAGTTTAAACTATCTCACTCACTTTTCTACATTGTATTTGTGACTCTTTTGCTATTAGTTTAAGATTTTACATTGGACGTTCTACTATTATGGAGAAAGATGCTCCCCGGATAACAAGCTTTTATTCCAATCAGATGATTGTAACACTAATACAAGGGTATGATCTAATTTCTCAAATCCCTAATTCCAACCTCATGTCTTTTCTCTTTTCCAATTTAGCCGAAAACTGAAACAATATACGAGGCCTTACTTTTTTGCTTTACTTACATCACACGAGGCCATAGTTTTCACCTTACTTTTAGAGATGGATTTTCTTTTAGATTTGTTTGTGCATAAATAAAAAATTTTACAGTTGTGCTGGGGGGGTCTTGGGGCCTAAACGTGAACCAAAAGGAGTTGGGGAAAAGCAGAAACCAGAAAGTGGAAGGTGAGCCACAACCACGACCATATATTTTTTACTTTTCTTTCATCAACCCCTCGTTTTCATCTTCTAGAATCTCTCTCTCTCTGTGTGACATGCATGGTAAGAAATAAGATCCAAAACACATATATGCACGAAAGTAGAGCCAAACACTTTGTTTCTTTGCCAAGAGCCACCACAACTAACGAACTAAAATAACATATTCAGGTTCTAAAGTATCATTAATTTTCCTTGTTAACCGCTCCATTAAACATATTATATAGTCTTGCATGGTCGCTAAACAAACGTTCACATGTCTTTTAGTACAAGACAAGGAATTTCTAGCCCAAAAAAAAAGAATGTACAAGACAAGGAATGATTCGATCAATTGAGCAAATGAAGCTGTCATCGGCTTACTGGGTCAATATGCAATCTAGGGGAAAAGTCTTGTTGAAATTTGTACATGCAAAAAGTTTTAGATCTAAAGGTGGGAGAAGAAAATCGTGTTTCGTCCATCACTTTGTTAACGATGTTGCGAAACACGTATTCAGGAACTAATATGAAACCTGCAAGAGCAACAAACATGAATACACATGAGCTATCATATCCAAAGATAATACCACAGATTTTAAGATTGATATACAAAATTGATTTGTAAAGTGACATGGTCAACTCCCATTCATCATTTGAATACAAATCACTTGTTATGATATCGAAATACAGTTACCCAAATAACTTAGTAGATCGATTTCGCAAGTCAATTGCAGTCATCCTTCAAAGGTCTTTTAAGGAACGTACCGCCAACAATTCAGCTGATTATGGTTTGGCAAGTAGCTGATGAGGAGGAGACCCCATAAATCCCACGTTTGTGTTCCCTGTAGGTTTAGTTCAAGAAACGAACATGGATGGGCTGGGGCTAAGTTGGCCTCATAAAAGGACAACACATGGTACACCTTTGAAGAAACCCACCAAAGTGTTAGTTCCACCAACATGATTTAATTATTCGAGTTGGGTCATGGAGTCTGGTACAATTTGTCCACTGAGTTAGGGGGAGATCTTGAGAGCTAACTGAATTATTTATGAAGTTGTTCAAAGTTTAGGCAGTGAGGCAAGAGAGAGAAAGAGAGAAAGAGAGATCTCACAATTATTACACCCCTGGTCCCTCACTTTAAACACCTTTGCTTTACACCTACCTGAAAGGTTACCCTCCAGTTATTACTTGTAGTCTCTTTCTCAGCTCATTCAATGTGATCGTGTGATTCCATTATCATCACGGAGAGAGAGAGAGAGAGAGAGAGAGAGAGAGAGCTTCTAGATGAGGGTTGGTGAGACAGGTAGAGGGAGTGGCCGGTGACTCTCTCTCTGTCCATCTCTCTCTCTCTCAAGAGTCAAGATTATAAAATCACAGGTTGAGCCCTCCAACGGGCCGGCTTCTCTCTCTTTGGTACATCACCGAAAAGGAAAATTAGGGGAAAAAGAAAGAAAGAAATCTAATGTTATCTCTATTTTATTCTCTCTCTGTCTCTCTCTCTCTCTCCCCACCATTCTAGGTCTCTACTACTAATAGAACAACAGTTCAACCAGCTCAACTAGTTACAAACTTTCACTAGACCAACTTAGGGAAATTCTTCTTTACACTCTCTCTTCAAAATCACCATCATCACCATCATCGTCACCAACGACGACAACATCAACAACATGGGAAGGTCTCCTTGCTGTGAGAAGGCTCACACAAACAAAGGCGCATGGACCAAGGAGGAGGATGACAAGCTCATCGCCTACATAAGAGCGCACGGCGAGGGCTGCTGGCGGTCGCTCCCGAAGGCCGCCGGCCTCCTCCGCTGCGGCAAGAGCTGCCGCCTCCGGTGGATCAATTACCTGCGGCCCGACCTCAAGCGGGGCAACTTCACCGAAGAAGAGGATGAGATCATCATCAAACTACACAGCCTTCTTGGTAACAAGTAAGCTCCAGTGTAGTCCTCAATTATTTTCTGCAACCCCCGTAGCATATACATAACTTTAATAATAAGAAAATTGCTAGATGGGATGAGCACGCAGAGATTTATCAACCTCTTTTTTTTTCTTTAAATCGAACCAAACACTCCCCCTAAGATTATGTACCTTCTTCTCATCTCCTTGTGAATCAATTTCATCTAGCTTATTTGTACTAACTGTCCCCATGAGTTGTTGTGGATTTTTCTTACAGATGGTCGCTCATTGCTGGGAGGTTGCCAGGGAGGACGGACAACGAGATCAAGAACTACTGGAACACGCACATAAGGAGGAAGCTTATGAACCGAGGCATCGATCCGGCCACTCACAGGCCGATCAATGAGCCCGCACAAGATCACCATGACGAGCCCACCATTTCTTTTGCTGCTAATTCCAAGGAGATCAAAGAGATGAAGAACAGCGCTGAGCTCAGTTTCGTGTGCAACTTAGAAGAGTCGACAGACGCGACATCTTCGGCTCGAGAAAGGTGTCCCGACTTGAATCTTGAGCTCAGAATCAGCCCTCCTTCTCATCAACAGCATCAGCCTGAGCCAATATTGAGATTCACAGGTAGGAAAAGTGATTTGTGTCTTGAGTGCAATCTGGGGTTGAAAAATAGCCAAGATTGCAGTTGTGGTATCGGAGTGATCGAGAGCGAAACTAGCGTTGGGTATGACTTCTTGGGCTTGAAGGCTGGTGTTTTGGATTATAGGAGCTGAGTTGTGGTGAAGAAGATGGATCATTGTGCAGTGAAGGGATGAGAAAGAGATTGTTATTAGTTGAAATCTCTTTATTAATTTTTGTTGCTTCTCTCTCTCTCGCTCTCTCTTTTACCCTTTTCTCTAAATTTGTACTTGGTCCTGGTTAATAGCTGAGTACATAAATCACAGGTTAATTAGAAATATTACCAGTTAGAGAGATGAATGAATGATATCTCATCTTCAGTGATATCATGTCGAACTTTTCCTATATGAAAAAATTCGAGACCTTTTCAAAAAAAAAAATTAAAGACCTTTTCAAAGACCCAAAAAAGGGTGACAAATTTAATATGGTGGTTGTAGCTAGCTACCAGCGTCTACCAGATATCTGTGAGAAACAAGCATGATTTTTTTCTTTTCTTTGGAATGAAAAAGATACATTTCCCTTAATTAAAACACGACAATGATATGTCTTAAAAAAGACATATTCAACAACAAGTACTTGTAATCTTTGAATGCGTTGCCTAATTCACCAAATGAGATCAAGAAGATTTATAACCCACTTTGGAGACCATCATTCTTTTTCACGAGTATTAACAAAGGGACAAAAAGGGTTTTAGTTTAGCTAAATTCTCCATAGAACAGAGGATAATCATCATTACTTGGGAATTTTTCATTTGATTTAAGGTCAAATCCTTTTTTGACTGAACCACCGTTTAAGATAAGTGATTCACCATGCGACAAAAACATTACAAGCATTGTCTTTTATGGACTATAGAAAAGCAAAACGAAAATCGTTTTCCTTTTTGAAGGAATTGGATAAGATGTGAGAGGAGGAGATAATAGGGTGGATGGAGTGGTTGGTAGCCTATCTCTGGCACAATTGCGATAAAAGCACCAAAGAAAGTAATATTAAAAGCGTGAAGGAACTAACAACTGTCCATAGTACCATAACTCGACCACCCTAATATTTGCCAACTCATTCCATGAGCCCACCCCAACAAACCCTAGCTTGATTGTTTTTCCCTTCTCTACTTTTTTTCTTTTTGGCCCTTGCTCTATTCCTGAATTTGCAAATTGTAGCTTCTAAAGGATTCTAATTGAGATGAGTACACAATCGTTTCTTAATGTTTTGGCTGTTGGTCAATGTCAAGCGATACATGTCTTTCTGTAAGCCAGACAGGACAAACAGGGTAGGCATGCAGGGCTTTGTGGCTATCGCGAGGGCAGGGATTAGGTTCTCCTCCTAGCCCCATGCGCGGCACAAGGTGGAGATGAGGACACTATTAATGTCATGCGGCAGGGGGCGGGGCAGGGATAGACAATCCCGGCCTCGCCCTACCCCATTGCCATCCTTACGCATAAGACAGCGAGTTTGAAACTTTATAGCATGTTTGTCAAATGTTGAGAGTTTAATTGACCAAAACGGACGTTAAGCATTCAGTTGACCACTCCTCCAAAACGTCAACGATTTATTTTGCACTTATCCCGACTTCTGAAGTAGAAATTTTTTTTTTTGGCATCATGTAATCTTCCAATTACTAATTTCTTCGAAAGAAAAATTACATGCCTAGATCATGCTATGCATCAAAACGATCATTTTCAATTTTTTAGGGTAGATCTCTTCTCTATTACATGTAGAGATGAGAATCCCTTAAAATTAAAGATTAGGATGGTCACGTCCTTGAATAGCACTTAAATTGAAGAAGAAAGGTTAGTAGGAAGTTAAAAGTTGGTAAAGTAGGAAGGATACTAGACCTCCATATCCATGTGAGGAGCATCCTCAGTAATTAAGTTAGGTCAAATCTTTTTCCGCCTGTTGTCGCAACCTCCCCGCAAATTTAGGTGTCAACACCTATCTTGAGAGCTCCATTTGTACTAAAAACACCGTTAATAAAACAAATCATTTACACGAGAGAATCCCTAATAATGAAAAGAGTATATGGCATGATGGTGTTTAAAAAAAAAATAGATACGACTGCTAAAAATTTGGCGCTCATCACTAAATTTAGTTCCCCAATGGAAAGTATAATTTTTTATCATTGTAGTGAGGAATTCGAGCAGGTAGGGGTGAGCATGGTCCGGGTTGGGCTGGTCCTGTACCTAACCCTAGGACCAACCCACTCAGTGTTGGTCCTCAATTTTTGGGACCAAGGACCAATCCTGTTGAGCCTAGGACCGAGGACCGGACCAACCCTATGGGTCTGGTCCGGTTCCAGGGTCAACCCTAGACCAATCGATTTTTTTTTTGTTTCATTTTTTGTATACCTTGAAAGTACAAACATACTCTTTCAAATTTCATATACATCAATAAACCAAACTATGAACACCGGTACGTATCAAACATAAATCTAAGATAAGATAACAACAGAAATCTTCATTTGCTAAAAACAACAAACCATAAAAAATGAACATGTGAAAGCGAGGCCGAGGCGAGCAAAGAGGCAAGTGGTGAGCGAATAGAGCTGAAAGCGAGGCAAGTAAACAGAGGTGAGGAATAGGTTTCACAGGCGAGCGGCGAGCGAACAAAGCGAGGAAGAGGAGGGTTTCTATATTTTTTTGGTCAAATCAGGGTTGGGTTAACCAGTTAAGTGAGTTTCTTTTGACTAAAAAAAAAACAATGGGTTTCTACTTTCTAATTTACAGTTCTTTTGACCAAAACAAAATCTACAATTCTACACGGCAAAACTGCATAAGAAATGAAAGAACATAGGCACAGTTGCTAGGGTAGGGTTTAAAGTAAACAATAATATATAATATATACATGGTTGGTTCAGGTTGGACCAACCTTATAGTCTCAAGACCGAGGACCAACCCGCACAGTGCAGGGTCCAAGGGTCCCAGGACCAAAGACCGACCCAGTCCCCCTGAGAACTGGACCAGGACCGGTCGGGTTGGGCTGGTCTAGGGTCAGTCCAGGGTCAACCTTGGACCGATGCTCACCCCTATGAGTAGGTGTACTGGGTCAACCTTTACCACATGGAAAAGTTATGTGGTCTTTGTTTATTCATTTACCTTTCAAGGTTATCAAACTAACAAAAAGTCATATAAACTTCTCAAGTTGAAAAATATGAAATGATATAGACAAGCTTGACTTGAATGAGTTCACCACTTTGGGATTTACAATTTAAGAATCGTGTAAATTTATAACCCAAGAAATTTATTTAATACAAATTCAAAATTCATGTAAAACATCTAAGTATATCGATGAAATTTCTAAAATTATGCTCGCTTTTTTCCGTTTGAAGCTTAAGTGAATGGCTTGAACATCTTCTAGACATGAATTTTGTATCATACGAAGCCCTCAAAAGTTAGGTACCAAATCTAGGTCAAGGGGCCTAGGTCCACCAGTTTAATGGCAAGCTACCCTACATTAATTGTGATTAATGCCACTAAGGTCCGACTATATTGACTCATCTAGTTGCTAAGCTTTCTCAGTTGTACTTCTAGATTGATGCCTTGAACCGCCCACCTTACAAAAAAGTTGATGTGATTATCGCCATAATATCAAATAAGGATGTATTACCAACCTCTTATTAAAGGGAAAATTTGGTGTGGGGAAAGCAAATGACAAAGGGAGAGGCACCTATCTATGTTGTTAAAAACAGCCTCGGGCCAAAAGAGGGCACACTCGAATCCCCACAACACTATAAAAGCAATCAAAGCAAGAGATAAGAAAAGAGCAAAAGGACAAATGGTTGGTGGCAATACTTTCATATTCCTTTTCTTGACAATATCCAAATATATAAAAAGAAAATATGACCCTTTGCCACGTGGAAAAAGGGAGCCGCTTTTCAACATTTCCACCCATTCTTTATCCTTTTTCTAATATGGGGTTAGGTAGAGACATTTTTGGAAGCTTATCTAGGGTTTAGCCATCCCCAATCTCTCCCTTCTTTACAATATTTGGTCGAGATTAGGTTTGGTTTTTAATGTGGATAAGTGCTTGTCTCATTATCAATATTCAATAGAGTAATTATTGCATGACATCAAGACAACTAGGAGATTGATTCCCACCATGTGACCTTGACAAGCGGGTCCCATCGACTTCACCCTTTTGGATCCTCTCTACCTAATAAAATCAAATTTGTCTTGACCTTTTCGGCTTTATGTATTGAGAGTGTGCAAAGGAGCCGAGAATCGTTCGGATCACCCGGGACCACCCGAAATCGAACTAGAATCGGTGATTCCTAAGGGAATCGATCCGATTCCAAGTTCCAATTTTTCGGAATCGATGGGTACCGATCCGATTTCCGGTTCCAGGTGTGGAACTGCCCACCCGCCCTTCCGGACCTAACCGGTAATATAATAATAATATATACTATATTATATTATATTTATTGAATTTTTAATTAAAAAAAATTCTTAATTCCTAAACTAAACCTAACTCGCTTGACGCTCATAGCCTCACACTAAGCCGAGAAACATATTTTTTCTCTTTCGCCTCACGCACACTCTCACTCTCTCACTTTTCTCGGTCGATGCTCACATCACCGTCTCCGACTCTCCGACTCCATCCTTGGCTGGTGGGACCGGTTCCATGGATCCACCCGAGAATCGAACCGGATCGGACCAGGGGTCCGATTCCCGGGTGGATCCATGGAACCAACAAGTGGTTTCCGGTTCCAATTTTTTGAAACTAGTCCCTAGTAGGCGGTTCCTAGTTCTAGGATGAGAACCGCCCACCCGGACCATGCTCACCCCTAATATATACTATTATAAATTTGTACCCTTCATTGGTTATTGTTCATTAGTTACTCCATAATAATCCATCGGTTTCATATATATAAAAAAGTTAACTGGGTTCTACTACAATGATTTAAGGAGATAATATTTAAACAATGGAATTTATTAAGTAAAAAACATATTATTCAAGAACCGGTTCTTCGGAATGACAGCGCGGAAACGGCGTGTATCGCGATTCTTGCCACAAACCCATGTGAAAGAAAGAAAATATTTTTTTAAAATGGAAAATTTTCCCAACAGTTAATTATATCACTAAAGTTTAATTACCACATTATATATAGAACACTTGGGTCTGATGATTATATACAATACTAAAATGACAGCTTTGTGGGATGTGCATCTATTAAAATGAACAATTCTTGCTGAAGGATC